TCTCCCTTCACCCACTTTTCGGTTGTCGGTCCCCCAGGGAGGAGGTCACATATAGTTCCTTATAATCGGCTCCCTCTTTCCAACCCACTCTCCCTCCACCCTCCCAGCATCGCCACTCTCACCACTGGTCCTGTAGGGATCACCCGCCCTGGGGGAATGGATTGTCTTTCTGGGGCCCAGGAGACAGAATCAGTGTAGGGTGTATCTGGAGTCAATCTCTTTTGTGATATGAAAGAGATTAAATGAGAGATAGCCAGCAGAGATGGGGAAAGAGGAAGGCCAAGCCGAATGAAGATGACCTAGATATAGAGGCTCCAAGAGACCCAAGAGACTAAGATGTTCTTCAGGAAAATAAAGCCAGAGAGACTTCCTCTAAAGGGAACACCCTAAATCTACCTCTGTCTTCCGAATCTGTGCAAAATTACATTTCTGTTTGTCAAAGCCACCCACTTGGTGGGTATTTCTGCTATTATAGCACTAATAACAAGACACCTACCCACGTGCAAAATCAAATTTCTCATGCATCCCTCGCCTCACCTGCACCTCCATCCACTGTTCATTCTTACTGCCTTGTTTTTGTTCTGACCATTCTAGATGGTGTTCTCAGTTTCTGCTTAATTATACCTACCTTTAAGGTTCTGGGACTTTCTCCGTAAATTCTTCTCCATTCTCCATGTAGACTTTATGTTTAGTGTAAACATAAATTCCACTAACATTTTCCTACCCTGTGTTGACATAGCGTTTGAAAGACCGATCTTAAAGCTATAGCTGCTTGTCACTCGCTATTCTGCAGCCTGTCCTCCCTTTGCACTGCTCCCAGCGCACACGGATTTCAGTTACTGAGGTTTGGTTATGCAACATCAGATAAAACAGACTCACTGCTGTCAAGTCACGTAACGACGCTATAGGACAGAGTAGAACTTCCCCTGTGAGTTTCTGAGACTGTAACTCTCTAGGGGAATAGAAATCCTCACCTGTCTACAAAGTCTCATCTTTCTCCCACAGTGCAACTGGTGGTTCCGAACTGCCGACCTTGTGCCCCAACAAGCCCAACCAGTAACCCACTACGCTACCAGGGCTCCTTTGATTCTTCAGTAGTGTTTTGGGTATAAGGAAACACCAGTGTTCCCATGTTAAACCTATAGGTATAAGGGACACATAGCACATACTGATACATAAAATTGGTGTATCTTTGGGTATGCTATGCAATTCTGAGTAAAAAATTTAAATATCTGTACATACAAATTTTAAACTTAAAATAAACCCAAGTATTACTTTACAATCAGAATATAAATGTTCTTTTACCCCCCTCTAAGACGAAGCAGAGAATGTTTTATTAAGCCACACATGATTATAATATCAAGAAGCATCAAGGTAGGGACCCCATGCTCAAATACATTTTATAGAGATCCCTTTATTCAATCTTAAACAGGACAGAGATGAAAATGAATCATTCAGATGAGGGAGCTATCAGTCCCTGAATAATGTAATTTAAATTTCAGTTACCATGTTATATCAACCACAAATAACTGAGTCACCCCTGAGGTCCGCTGCTAGCTCTTCAGTCCCTAAATCACTGTGTACACAACAGGTTTGCATTCAGATCAGTGACCCTGATGGGATTTCTGGAAATGCCATCAGCGTTGGGTCACTGCACTTCTGTCATTCAGTTTACAGCATGTCTCCCATGACAAAGCTAGATAATCAAGAGGGAAGTGCAGCAAAGGGGGAAAAAAGTTAAGCCTGGAGTGAATTTCAGATGGACCATCTATGGAGTTATAGAAGAGCCGACCACATATGTTCTGACCCTGCAGTCACTCAAGACTACATAAGTGGCTGAGTTAGTCTGGGTAAACAAGAGAAACAAATC